TAGTGAAGGTTGCAGTAACACTGAACAGCAATTTTCATCTCTATTCCACTGGAGCATCGGTGTTTTTGTGGCAACACAACTCTCCTGCACCTCCTTCATTTAGCGGTTCTCTGTTGATATCTTTATTTCTGTGACTCCTTACTGGAAAGAAAATTATGCTCAGTCACTGCCTAAGAGGTTGCGTAAATGTATACCAGTAGCAGTGGCCGATATATGTCTATGTTATCTCTAAGGTCTAGCCGGCTTTTTTTCACCATCAAAATTCGTCATAATTTACGGTTCTTTTCTTTTTTTTCATTATATTTGGTGGGTGTACAGGAACTTTGATAGTTACTGGATGCGAACTTTATTTCTTTTATTAAAAAAACTTTACAGAAAAAATTTTTTTATATCATTTCTCAAAAAACCACAAAATTCACTCTTTTGGAACATATTGGGAGAAAAATGCTAAAAACTCTAAATGAAACAACACAGCGCCTCATCAATAAAACTACTGCGGCGCAACCAGCAACTATAGAAGTACCTTTGGTATACCGTTTATCTTTCACATTATTGATCTTCATTGACACTATAGTTGTCAGTTCTGAATCCGTCGTTTAAATAATTAGGTCTTAAGAGTTTTTTGCCAAAAAAAAAACTGCGTATTAAATGGCAAAAAGTTCCTTGATTTAAAGCGTTTTATAAAGTGTATTTTTCGCACTTAACTAAGGATGTCTTCATTGCTGTTTTTGTTGTTGATCATGGTGTACGATGACGACGACGACGACGACGACAATACCTTCTCATCAACCGTTCGCCACCACTGCTACCGCCACTGATCTGATGTGTTTCTCAATTTCCAACAGCCTCATCTTGCCTGTTGTTTGGTGTGAGCACTTCTTGGGTACACAGAATTTGCACTATTTGTAGCCCGGGCGTTACTGCTGGCCATTTCAATTTGGTTTCTACTTCACTGATCAACAATAATTTATTTGTTTTTTATTTCAAATTATTTTATGGATACCTGTTGAATGTTGTTGATGAGAGTGCAGTGTTTTTTTTTGTTTTTTTTTTTTTT